CTGTTGATTTAAAAAAATGGCTTTCATATGTTCAATATTAACTTTAAACCCACTTCAGAAAACGAAGGCCTGGGTTTTAGGACCGAATAAAGCTTTGCAGCTTTATTTATATAGATCAATATATATATATATATATATATATATATATATATATATATATATATATATATATATATATATATATATATATATATATATATTTTATAACTATACATATAACTATACATCATTACTTAATACAATGAAACCTAATTTAATCATTTAACAACAATGTTACTGTTTGTATGGATATATGTTGTTACATGATATTAAGTTCTATGTATGATTGTTTGGTCTAGACCAAACATATTGGTTTATTATCTATAAACAAATATAGATAAGACAAGTATCTTATACTACGACACATGCTTAAAGATGTTAGGGTGGGGGCGTGTATATTTTCAATTAGGCAAATATGTGTTTATGTCTTTTCTTACCAGCCAATTACATACAACAAAAACTAAGTTAAAACTGTAGTGTACAAGCGAATAAAATTATAGTAGCAGTTTAAAGTACATTTTACACTTAATAGGCAGAAGAAGTTAGCTACGTTGCAAAACTGCATGTGGAGTACAGTACCATATTATGTTGCACATTTCAATTTCTATAAAATGTGCACATTGTCCTTTTTCCACTTCTTTGTTTTTCTTTAGTTCCGCGTGAAAGCGCCCAGACAATAAAAAATTCCACTATATTCTTGTATGTTTGCATGGTGAAAGCAATAAGTAAATAGTGGTACACCACATAGGTATCTAAAGCTGCAAAGCTTTCGGTCCTAAAACCCAGGCCTTCGTCAGTGGAATTGGCCTTTCTCATGATGACGTTTTTGGGGTACTTTCAGTTTCTGAAATGGGTTTAAAATTAATATTTAACATGCATGGAAGGCATTTACTTTAAATCAACAGACCCCATTTGAATAATAAATTTAGCCTACAATTTAGCCTACAACAGTCGCCGTTACGAGGTCTCACGTTCACGGTTTTGAAAAATGTGCCCCCAAAATGGCGACCTATTCGTCATCGTAAGAAAGGCTAATTACATTGATCATTGCACATTTGCACTTTAACTCAAATTTTAACATCATTTTTTAGTCGCTCGTTTATGAAGTTGAACATTTCTTTCACAAACATTTTGTTGATCAATAGAAGCCTTATTTTGTAAATTCTTGAAACAAACAGCGGTGCAGAACCATATGAACAAAAACAGCGATTAAAATTTAACCTAGCTTTGAACAACCGGCCCCTGGATAACAGACCGAAAGTTTCGAAGTATTAAATACTTACGTGGTGTACCTACAAGCTAATTTACGTACTGCATAGTAACATGTATTGAATCATTGTAAACTTGTATTTTGCAGTGTACAACTGGAGTATGGTAATGTGACTCTAACTATTGGTGCCAAGATCATATCGTGTACAGATGTACCTTGTACCACCTCGTCTTCCATATGGACGACATATTTGCTTCGGAATATAGCAGCTGAACTCAGATTGCTTGAATATCTTCATATCATCGGCTGATGGAAGACTAACCTCGTAACACTGGAAATGGCTGTTGAATATGTTGGTCTCCATTGGCTCGACAACAAACTGAATGCCCATCAAGTTCTTCTCAACTATACAAATCTTGTGAATTCTCCAAAATAATGGGCAGTCATGCTCATCATATCCAATATGTACTGCTGCATTACATTTGTACTTCGTACCTCCAATAACAACCCACTTCGCTCTTGGATTAGAAAAGAGGAAAATGATAAAAATCTGTCATCCATGCATATACTTAAGGCTAGATTCCACTCAGGATAATGATCCGTGGATGGGAACGGACAGAAAAGTTTTTCTTTGTGTTAAAGTCATTAGTTCCAACCCAGAGCTCACAACTGAGACAAAGAAAAACTTTCCTGCATGTCCGTTCCAATCCACGGATCATTATCCTGAGTGGAATCTAGCCTTTATACAGTATATGTATGTAAGGCTAGGGATTGCTTACTGAGGTTGCAATAGACCTTTTCCCATTTAGCTTTCAAGCGCGCTATGCGTGACGGTAGTTAATTATCAATTAACTTTGAGTTGCGTTATCGCTCTGCTTCTTATTGCTTCTTTGTTAAACAAAATCGCTCCTGAATATGGCCAATTCACGACTCAAATAATCAACTACCGCGCAAAGGCATTTCGCGCTTGAACGCTAAAAGGGGGGAAAGGTCTATTGAATTAGTTGTTGAATAGTTGTTCTTTTGTATGTTCGGCATGTAAAATCGTAAATTTTTAACTTACTCAAAAACAGAGGTTTGTGGAATCACATCACAAAACTCATATGACTCACAAAGCAAATCATAGTAGCCTAAATTTCCAGCATACGTTTCTGTGCCTAAAAATATTTAAATAAGGAATACTGTAAATGAGTGTATACATCATAAGTGCGCATTATCCAAATAGTGTGGGTTCGCCGGACCTTCATTGGGCCTCTCATGACGAACGGCTTTGTCACGAAATGTCGAGGGATTTTTAAACTAATGACATAAACCGTTCTTATGGGCTTCATAATAAACCATAAAACTGTCACGTTATACATAATTGATAGCCGTATGTAATTAGTGTAATAAATCATGAACGTGTACCTGGACCAATATCAATTCCTTTTTGAAGAAAAGTAGAGTGGCCCCCTTCCGACATGTTAATGCGGTAACATAGCCCTTCCTGGTGCCGTTTTGTCAGAGAATACGGCAGATTGATGAAGTTACCACATGAAATGGCCAAGCGTTTGAAGTACGAGTGTTTTGCCTCATACCTCATGCACCAAATCCTGATGAGCGGTCCCAATCTGTAATCAGTAATCGGGTAATTAGTGAAGGGGTATAATAATACGTTGAAACCTCATAAAGCAAATAAGCTTACTTTAACATAATCCTCGGCATATGGATCATGTAGTGCATCTTGGGTATGATAGACGCATGTGGATATAGTAGCCGGAAATTTTCATGATGATTTTGGATCAGGACTTGGAGATAAGGCATTTGCTCTTTGCTTATCAGCGGGGAGAATATAATGCGCACTATTTCCAGCAATACACAATAGGCATTCCAATGGTCGTCATCTTCTGTCATAAACTCTCCAATTAAAAGAGGAAGGAATAAGCCCAGGCACCACATCTCATTAGCTGTGACATAATAATAAACCAAAATTAGGATGACATGCATGCATGCAGTTAAATAATTTCTAAAAAAAATTCATATTCTTGATATATTCGGTTAACAATTCGATCAACAATTACGTCTTACCATGTTGCTTAAGGCTATTGTCATTGGACAAGAGTTTCTGCCTCAAGATTGGTGCCGGTTTGTTTGAGTCATTGTGGTACCTGGAATATCGATGTATGTTTTTTAAGGATAGTTAATACTTGTGGCATGGTAAGGGACCGTTCATTATTTTTACCTCAGGGGGGGCAAATGAAATTACAAGGGGAAAATCTTTTTTACTGAACTCCATTAAATCCAATATTTTAACACTGTTTTTTATGGCTCTATATGGCTCTATAGCTTCATTGTATTTTCCCATAAGAGACATAGATATCTATTATTAACCATTAGTTACGAATCAATTTTGAGTAGTTATCCAAAGATTATTTCATACTTAAAAAACTAATTTGTGCACAGATTTGGGTTTGGTGCATCAGAAAGATCGATGTACAAAATAGCGACAACCCTGTTACCCTGATTCATCTGACAGCAATTTTAATTTTACACACCCTTTTAGGGGCAAAAAGTTTTAGTTACCAACCCTATTTCTCTTCGGTCCCCCCCCCCTAAGGTATCAAGAACGGGATCAGTGCATGTTGGTGGCATTAATTCAAAGAACTAAACTTGCTTTAATCATGATATTCTAAAAAGGTATAATGCTTTGAGACAGATCGCTGGACATGGGAAATCGACCGAATCGCATCAATTACATGCATTTGGTATTACTATGCGACCTATGCATGTAAATATATTCTTTCGCAATATAGCGTATTTACATCAAAATGAAGCCGAAGAATCCCTGCGCCACACCTCTAATATGTTGAGACGTTACTATCAAGAAGGTATAAGTAATAACTGTGTATGCAATTTATAAAATAGCATTCTTAGAAATAGGATCATCCCTGATCTGTAATCCACATGAAATGCATGCTTTCAGGCTAAAGAATATTGGACTATTGGTTTTGCTATTGGTTTTCCAATATACTCGTTAAGCACGTGATCGCGCCTTAGCGTGTTGTCATCAATTATTGCAAGGAACCATATTCTCAAATTTTATATTGAAATTGCTATATTTGACTCCAGAGACGGCACAAAAGCAAATGGTATGACTTACAGTATTCGAATAACGTTAGTTAAATAGAGTTTAGGCTTCAGTGAGTGCATTTTTGACCGTTTTTTGCGAACCAGTTGAAATATAAATCAGTGAATGTAACAAAGCAGTGAAAGCACGTGTGACATTTTTGGCAATTGTTACTTCAAACTATTTTGAGGATCACCTGTATGTAACTCAATAAGTACTAGAAATCTTTACTTTTTAAACCTTCCGTCTTTAACTTTAATATTATTTTGAAATTCGAAGCGTAAATTTTGTGCTAACTTTTATGATGAAATTTATCACTGATATATTTCAATTATCTTATTATCAAAATGCACAATAAAGACTGATTTCTAACTAAGTATTCTAAGGTATTCTAGCTGTTAAACATACTCAAAAGTACTATTAAATACATACCCATAATCAAATGAAGCGATCCTCTTATTCAGCTCATCTAAGGAGAATGTTTTTTCTTCCGAATGAAATGCTTTAACATTTCCTTGGTGTGGTATTGGAGTGTGCCTTCCAGGACATCATGCATGGCATCAGCTGGTAGTCCTCCAATGACATGATAGTACCTTGATTTACCTAGTACCGATCTTCGATTTAACCCATACATTACACTGAAGTGTTCGGATTGCATCAGATGTCTGCAATGGATTTCATATCCATCTTTTGTTCGTAGTTCAAACTCGCTTTCAAGGAACTACATAAAAAGGTCAAATAATGTAACGTATTAACATGGTGATACAATATTACCATAATTATGCATAATATCTATACCTAGCTGTTTCTATATCTGTTAATGTCAGAGCGATTTTACCTTGCAACTTTGTTGAATTAATATGCAAAAAATGCAATTTGTATACAAATTATCAGGTGCTGTTGTATCACCATAAATATTGTATCACATATTGTATCACTATTGTATCACTATAAAGTATAAATTAATGTTATACTTCAACAAATTAACTGTGTCTATGAAAAGTGCTACATTTTTTTTGCCCATAATGAGCAATTCACTGTATTGAATTTTAGGATTTCCACACCTTTGTTTGTATTTGTTCGTCAATCCCCATGCACTCCCTGCATTTACGATAAGCTTGGGAGCCCTCTTTGAATCCACCTAGTAGCTGGGAACCCAAATTATCCCCCGATATATATCCAATGCTTCCTCGAAATGATCTTTGTTGGCCATTTATTGTAAATACAACACCTTCATCCTACAGGATTGATGAAATTCAAATCTTTAATCCAAAACAGTAACCAAAACAAGAAATTAAGAAATTAATAAATTTTAATTACTGAATTATAATTAAATTTTAAGTGATGATTCAGTACATTCACTTTTCTTTCTTTAGATGATCTGGTCCATACCTGTTCAAGTTGAATAATATCTTCCATAATACGATCAAGAATGCATTCAATTCCATATTTCTTGATATGTTTGCTGTTGACAATTGCAAGAAGCTGAATGGCATTTAAACTTGACCTCTTATCTGGTGATATGTTCCCCAAAGTGTAGTATATGTTGCCTATAATCAAGGTAATTAACAAACATTTTTATTTAATATCAGTATTTTTGTTTCTGGTACAGTGGTCTTTTATATTTTTAATCTAAAGAAAATTCTATAATACTGAATGCACATCAAAATAATTCCCCTGCTCACCTATTTTGTGGGTATTTGCTCGTGATCCTAGAGGATTACAGACTTGCAGTTCATCAAAGAACAATAGCAGTTGTAATGCATACATATCTGTACTGAAGAGTGGATGGGATTTAAATTCTTCTCCATCACAAAAATCACCAAGCAAACCATCCTGACGAGCATGAGGGTTATCAATCTATTAATGTAATAAAACTATGATTATATAGTATTATGGTATCAGATAAGATCTCCTCAAATATTTTTACCTCCTCAACAACAGCTTCATTATTCAAAAGTTGTTGAATACTTTTGATGAGAGGCACATAGTATGCTTTGTCTTCTTTTTCAATATCTACCAATCTGCTTCCCTTCCTGATCTTTTTATGGAATTTACCCATACAACTTTTTCTGGCTCCTAAATTGTAGGAAAGAAACTTAAAGCATCTTAAATTTAACTATAATGATTGTTTTTTAATTTATTGGTAAATTTACATGCTATTCTTTTCAGGTCTTGTGAACCATTGTAATTTGGGGACATAATGGACTATATAGACATATCCTGTTCTACTTCAGGTACTGTAACTTGTTATGTAATTCATGTCATGTGGTACTGCAAGTGCAATACTGTATGTTATTTACCTGGTTACCTTGCATTTAATACATGTATTCATTTGAAAGCATTAGGAAGAAGTGCCCTTTAGGTTCGGTAGTTTCTTTGAAATGGATTTAAATGGTTTTAAATGCAGCAGAGCTTTAGGTCCGTTAACCTGTGCCTTCATCAGTGCAATATTATTTGGGTTACCAGGACGAAATCTTTGCAGTATTTTATATTACTTATGGGGTTTACCTATACAAGTTAATTGAATTATTTAAGTCCCCATACATGCAAACTTACAAGAATACATATTAATAGTACATTGTAATAATTCTACAAACTGTTTGTTCAATTAGTACAAACACTTTGATCAATTTAAACGTGCTTACCACCATTCCAAAATTATATGCAGTATGATAACTGAGACGCCCATTATTGCATCCTTCAAATGGTTTTCGTATGGTGTGTCTTAAGCAAATTCTTAACCCGGGAATGTTATCCATTGTAAACCGGCATTATCAAGAATTGCAAACCAGACTGAAGAATTTTCTAACTGCTGGTCAACGATCTGTGTAGTCGTACGCGTAATTGAATCTACGAAGTTGAGGGACTTTCCTTCGTCTTTATCCTTAATAACGACAATACGTTTGATTTGCGGACCTCTTCGACTTCTCGTTCAAAATCAAACTCATGGGCGTCGTCATTAACGGTTCATGGGTCTCCGTTAAATTGTTGCCTGGCTGGTAAGGGCCAACTTGTGGAACCGCTTCTGTATTCAGGAGCGCGGAATGTTTGCGAAGGATATGGTTCTGACGAGAAGAAGTTTTTTATGTCCTTGGACACCCATCTATCCGCATAGAACATGGAAACCTCTCTCAACAACAGGCCATGGGACATCAATAGTCGAAGACTACCTGAGTAAAGTGAACGCACAAGTTACAACGATACATGTTGTGCGTTTGTTTAAGAGTGTGTGGAAGACTTGGAGTTGGATCTGCGTTACTGCGTATGTACCACTGAGCTATATTAAGAAAACGCATGAACTTGAACTTGCATATTTATTGTGAACTTGACATTGATCGACGGACCTGTGGGGGTGGGGATGATTATGGTAGAACATTTCTCTCAGTAATTGAAGTAAATTGCAGAATTACAGGATCTGTTTGTGCTATAATTTATACGTTCAGCCTAAGCAAATATAATTTCAAAATTATCGTTCAGAGCAATATATCTAAAAATCCAGAGAAAGCCTTTTTGGGGGGGGCTGTTGGGTAGAAATCTGACGTCAAAAGTGGTTTAACAGGTTTTTTGAAGTTGTTTGTGCATCATTTTCTCTCTGATCCTTCTGCAGTTGCAAGGTCTTCACACGTTTTAAAAGTTTTCAAAAGTTATACTTTTTGGGGGGAAATGGAACAAAATTTGCTTCATGCTCTTATTTCAAATGGTGTCAGAGAAAAAAACATCGACATCTGTGCGATGAAGAGGTAAGCCTCGTGCTATAATGCAATTTTTTACAGATTTTTTTTTCACTGGTTTCCTTCCACTAAAGAATATAAAAACGTGTTTGGGGGAAAAACGAACGTTTTCACTAAGCGACACGCAATCTAGATATAATAAAATTAATTAGTGCTTGCCGTATAGGTAATATTCTGAATAAAAGGAGAATACTGAGTCATCGCATCTTGGTCATCGCACATTTTTCTCGACTCTTCCTCAGACATACGGGTTTCATAGTCTGTCTTTAATTCTATTTTATTTCGGCGGTAATGCATACACTTTTCCGTATAGTATATCAAAAAAATACATTGTAGGCGATAGGTAGTACTATTAAACCAAGCACTTGGGCAAGTCGGGAAGTCGTCGCCATCCGTGTTTTATCGGATAAGCGAAAATGCAAAAACAATATTTTTAATGCACATTATTTTTTATATTTTTTAACGATATCAACTAAACTACCAGTTTCGATAGTTTGAGATCCGATACCAGTTTCGAAACCAAAATTATTATCAAAAGAAGACATTTTGAAACTCAAGCTGCATGAAGAACACATCTGCATGAGTCATGTAAAATTTCATTATAACGAAAATAGTTCCTTTTTAATTTCCTTTGCTCACGATTTCTTGAATTTGATTCAATTTTTCGAAAACAAAACCATGATTGCAGAAAAAAGAAAATATTTCAATCAACGTTTGCCTAGAAAAAAGCGTTAACTAGCGAGCCATACCGATGTGGCGATGTGCGATATGCAGGCGACAAAAGCCGACAACCTCGTACCCAGGGTCGTTCGTGGGTTTTCGTGCTCGCTAGGATTGCTGGCATCGAATTGGCTAGGATTGCTGGCATTGATTTTTTTTACTTTTTTGGTAATTGCATGAGTACGTGTTATTAGTTTTATAATTTCGTGCAAAAGTTAAGTAAAAGATGAATGTATTTCCATGTTGATGAATATATTAGTTCAGTCAGTATAAAGTAGTCTGCGCGCGTAATAATTAAATGTAGTCGAAGACAGAGTCATAAAAAAGATTGACACAACCTTAATTCAAAAAACAACAGATAATAATGATGAGGCTAGACCAGTGTGTTGGAATATTCATATAACTATTTTAGAGATCCCTTTCGATACGATTACATGACGCTTATGCAGGCGACTGCGATGATTGTGTCGTTGTGCGCAAAAACGTAGAAATGATAATTGATATGAGAAAATTGCGTGTTGAAATGCCGTGTCTTACACTATACACGTGGATATATCAACTCATTTCAGGTGTTTTCATTGGTTTTGACACGACCAAAATGCGACGTATAAACTATGTCTACGACTTGCTGAACCAATAACTGTAGAATTCCAAGCGTAGAACATTTCTTTATCCAAAGATTCTAATACTTAAAAAAGACCAACCACGTACCCAGGCCCAGGGTCTTTTCTCTGTGCTCACTCTTGGGGGGAACAAAAACACCCGCAACGTGAGAACAGAGAAAAGACCCTGGGTACGATTGATAAAAGGCAACGCTTTGAAGTACGACGTTGAGAATGAAACTTAAAATTTCGTGAGGGTGGGAAACTGGAAGTGTTGTAAAAATCCACGGTAAATATTACAAGATTTTCTAAAAAATCCGAATATTCCCTAGTCCATAGTCCCCAGTCCTTTTGTAATGATTATTTTGGCCTCTGCCCTATGGGATTATCTGAAAGCTTGTGTTTAAGAAGCAACATGAGACAAGAAATTTCAAACAAGTTTTTCAGCGGAGAGAACTCCAAAATAAGTACGATTGGGCTAAAACTATATGACTGCATGGTATATATATTTCTTTAATCGTGTTTACAGAAATATTGACTTTTAAGTTCCAAATTTCTATTTCTTAAAAATCCCAAAAAATTCCCAAGATCTCAGGATAAAGTCTTGAACTTGGCAACGCTGAAGAATATTTTTCCTGAATTAGTAAATTTTGATAGGTTGCTTTGGTAATTAGCCAACAGAAAATCTGGCCATACTAAGCTATTCGGTATCCGAATAAAATTGAGGATATTTTAACAAGTCTTCATTGATCTTTCTGGAGAACTTTTGGTAGCGATCACTTCAAATTGTTCATTGTTTTTCAATAATTTTTAACATGCATACATCAGTGAATGGCAATGCAGTCGTTCAAAGTTAGGTTATTGCTAATCCTGGGTTAAATTTCACCCCGCTATTTTAGTTTATATGCCTCTATATATACACAGCTATTTGCCAGTTCAAGACTTCGATAATACTTCCGTTGACCCACAAAATATTTATAAAGCAGAGAAATAAAAAATTGACGACATTGAGGAAAGATACTTCATCAAGAAAGATTTCAGTTTACTGTAGCTGCTTGTCATAAAATTATAATCATTTAGTTTTAGACCTGCATGTTTACGTATAAACCCATGCATTTATCAATTATCGTATTGATATATAGTTGGACACGTTTGAATGTCTTCGCGAATCGAGTGACGAGTTGCTCAAAGGTTGTGGCCTCAAAGCAGGTGAAGTACTCAAAATTAAAAGAGCAATACGCGAATCGACGACGACTCTTAGTCCTCAGCCTGCTGCAAACACCGGGCGAGCTTCTCAAACGCCTCTAGATGACGAGTTTTCGGACATCGTTGATAACGTTGATACCTCGTTTTCGGATATCGTTGATAGCGGAAATACCTCTGACATCGTTGATACCTCGGACATCGTTGATACCTCGGGAGTTCACAGTATGGCATCAGTGGATGATGTTGTGAGCTCGGTGCCTGATCATCTCGAAAAAATCAAGACGGCAACAGATGGCATCGTACCGCGGCCAGCTTTCCAGAAGACTGGAGATACGATCCAATATAATGATAGATGGATTTCATCCTATCAGTTGCCTGCAAGGGTATGTATTATTCATTCGTCATAAGAATCTAATGAAGAGAGGGTTATTTGGGTGGTATACGTGTACTAACACTTATTCCAAAGGTCTGAGGGGTACACGAGATTTATACCTCGAAGCCTGGTGACAGAATTCGTATTCGCTTCGCGCTGAGAGGGATACAAATTCAGCCACCAGGCTGAGAGGGATAAATCTCATGTACCCCGAGAGACCTTTGGAACAAAGATTTTGTCTTTGAAGTTATATCTACACTCAGATTAAAAAAAATGTCGTATCCTTTTTTTGTCGTAGCCATTTTAAAAAAATGTCGTATCCTTTTAGAGCTTGTATTAGCCAATGAGCGTCGTTTGGAATTCGTATACCTTTGGAGCGCACAAAGATACGAGATTTATCCATTCTGCTTCGTCCAAACAGATTTGTCTATTACTGTGCGTTGATAGACAAATGCATGTATTCATAAAAGCGATCGTTCCTATACTGTATATATTTGTTTGCATGAATAATATTTCATGTGTATAATTTACCATTCGCGAAATCAGGATAAAAAACGTGTCTTCGCGCTGGTAAAAACAGCCTGACCAGACCCAGACGAGGTAAAATTTCAAAGCAGGTTGGTAGGCTGTATGAGAGGATTAGGAGATACACGCTCCTCAGCCAATATACCCACCAAAATATACATACGTATTATATAGTTACGTCTTTTTTTCGTAATTATATACACTAATGATGTCTATGTGTAATACTTACAAAAGAATCCAAATACTGTGTTGGTCAGCTTCGGCCTTGTGTATTGTAAAACACCTAAAATTTGAGTTTATCATGAGCCTGAAAGATAAAGCAATCACCTTTACCGGAAAGTGACTCGGAAATATCAACGTACGACCCAAGCCTTATGTACCTCAAGGTGCATATACATATATAGTCGTAAAGATTGAATAACTATATATTTATTTTGCATTTTAGTTTTCGCCTAGAGTCACAGCAGCCCTGGAAAGAAAAAACCTTCCTGGAAACGTGCGGGACGAGTTCAACAGAGATATATGCAGTAGCATTAAAGTTCACACCATGAACCCAAAAAAGCATGAGAGGGAGACCGTGGCATTTAAAATCATCTCAAAATATCCATTTTTAGCGGACAAGATTGGTTCTGGAATAGTATGTGTATAACTTACCGGTTTCTTAACTTCTTCATGCAATGCTTTGATTTTGGTATAATTCTAAAGAAGCATAATCGATTAAACAAAAAACGTTGACAAGTTTGGCAAAAAAATTATACGCTTATATACTGCATGTATATTGAATGGGATTATATATCATATTGTTTCCTTTATTGTTGGATCAGTGACTAAAGGTCACTTTTGAATGGTCGATTCCCAAGTTTTTAGGAATCCCCCAATTACGCTTCAATAAAGTGAATGGTCTTAAAGCATGATTATCGTCACATGTTTGCTCTGTTGATCTACCATGCAGGTAAAAACAGTTCTAAGAAGGACTGACTGTTGAAATTGGTGTTGTCTGACGTTTCTATTCCCTTTTAAAAGGGACCAAATCCTTCTCAGGACTGCACTAACTGGAAGATCAACAGAAAAAAATGCAAACCACAGGATTGTGAAAAATATTGCATTCAAGCTTAGACCTAGGAAAAACGTCGTTCTTATCATGCGGCGAACCTAATGCATATAAATACACTGTAAATTTCGCAGTGTTACGCCAACACGAAACTGGTGTAGGATAACACCGATTAGGTGTTTTGCCAAGTCAAACACCATTGGAGTGTAGCAATACACTTAAAAAGCGTAACTCTACACTATGCTAGCGTTTCTGTAACACTTTCTCGGTGTAAAAACAAACAAACCTAGGTTACACCAAATTTGGTGTTTTTTTACCTAAAAATGGCATACATTTACCTACTGCTCAGGTTATATTACACTGAACGGTTGCGTTAGTATACACCTATTTAGTGTAAGATATGCTTACACTCGATAAGTGTATATCTACACTTTGGTTTTTGTATTAATACACCAAAAAAAACGTGAATGTACCGTGATCTGGTGTAAGTAAAAACAAGGTTATTAAACACCGAGAGCGTTGTAAATTTACCGTCTACGGTGTATATTTACCCGATATGAGTTTTCAAAATTGCACTTGAAGAGCGTAAACTTACATCTAAATTGTGTACAAAATTCAATGCCTTATAAATTAAGACCGCGACGGAAAATGCTTGATTTGTTGCAAAATAAAAGAGTATATATGGTTGTATAGATACAAAAGAATGGGAATTGACTACATACTAAGAGACCAATAGACCCTGGGTCACAACAATTTGTATACCAGGTACGAAACGTGTTTTCGTCAAATGTTCCTAAGCAAGCATGCACATGCAGTTTTTTCGTTAAATGTTTCCAGGCAGGCACAGTATCATGAGTCAGACAATTCATTTATTTACTGAATTTCTTTATTATGTTAATAATTTCTTTAACACATGTATATATTGTTCAGCATCAGATAGGTCGTACTTCATTCTTACAAAGTGTTTTGATTCTCTATTTACAACGATGGTATAAAGATCTAGAGGATGATGATCTAGCATCCCAGAAAATAATAAGGGCACAAATTCTTCCAAAACTTCAACCTCATAGCAATGAATGTGCCTGCTAAAAGCAACTGTATTTACTTTCTTGCAAGAAAACATAACATCCATGTTTGGCATAAAAAAACATTATGTATAAAAAGAAACACAGGAAAAATTAATTGCTGATAGATTATGATCATATTCTTTTTATACTTGTATCCATTGACTTTCACCCAATTCAACCTAGAATGTGAATATAGTTTTCACTTTTCAGTCCAGTTTTAAATAATTTTTACCATATATAAGAACAAACTTACAGTGTCACAGTTGAATTCTGATCCAAATTGTTGCCCAACTGGCACAGTGAGGTGCATTCTTTCTCTTCCAGATCCTTCACATAAAAACTTTACCTAAGCAGAATATTAATAAATACATGAAGTAGAATAAAAGGATACTTATAACAACATTTAACATCCTAAAAACCATTACAAAATTCCAGCTAATATCCAGTATGCACTTTTGTTGTTCACTAACCTGGTCCAACCTCAGTATCACTCCTTAAATAGCCATCACTGTCACTAAGCCAGTAACACTGAAGCCGTTGGTGCCTGGTAGCTAATGTCTTTGCTATATTCTTGAAGCAACCTACAGTCTGCGCCAAAAGCTTAAAATAATGATGCTTAGCCTCAAAGCGCATGCACCAGTTGCGCACAAGGGGTCCATATCTAAAATATATAAAATAAATAATTAAAATTATCAAATGTACTGGGGTGTTCAGCATTGAAGCCACCACCTGTGAGAACCAGATCAATAGACATACCTTAGAATTTGGTTTGGGTAATGAACCATGAAATGCTGTTTTGGAATAAGTTTCCTTTCAGGATAGAGCCTTTTAAACTGTTCCAGATACTCGCTGATTATGAGCCGAAGATAGAGTGTAGTACCTTTCTCAATCACTGGGGCAAACAATATATCAACAATATGCATTAAATCAGTGAACAATTCCCAGTCATCATTTCCTTCTGGTATCCATTTGTGAACCAAAAATGGCAGGATTCTAGAAAGACACCACATTTGTGATGCTGAAATATAACTCAATTAGTGCTAGCATAATGTTAAAACACTGACTAAACACTGATTCTATAAGAACTTTTAAAAGAACTATGGGAACTTGGGACCTGTGGTTGATGTAGTCATCCTCAGGTTTAAGGCAACTCTTAAATAAATAGTTAAATACCTGATTGGCGTAAATGGTAATCACTAAGATTGACATTCTTTACCAAGCTTGGTTTGTTCTTGATGTCACAAACACCATATGGGAATGCTGAAAGCGCATGGTTGAACTGATCAAGTGTGAAAAATTTATCCACCATGATGAATTTTCTCAACATCACTTTAATTTGGAAAGGAAGTACACCTTCTAAGATATCATGCATGATATCAGAAGGAAGTCCATCAACAACATGAAAATATTTAGAAGCATTTAGGGCTGAGTTCTTTTTCACACCATATACAGAAGCTGATTCTGGATCAGTGGAAACCAAATCCACCTGCCTAGCATAATTTTCTCGGGATCTCATTGTGAATAATTCTTCAGAAAACTGGAAATTTAAATAGTTGGATATTATACTGGGGTTGGTATAATCAAATCTGAACAACATACATTAACAAACATTGATTAACACCCATTAAAATCTCATGAGAGCAAAAAAAGCTGAGTAGGTTAAATGAATGTTTTCTCATGATATCAATAGCATTTCCTACAAAAAACTGTGTACTGGTATACCATGTTTCACAATATTTTAGTAGCATTGCAATTTGTGATATGATTAATAAATTACCCTTTCTTGAAATTCCACCGATGTGCCCAGACAGAACCTACACGGCCGATTTGCACTGAAACTCTCCATGAAACCTCCAATTGAATTGCTACCAAGGTTATCTGCAACTACTACACTTAATGTTCCTTTAATTGGAATAATTTGATTTGCTATATTGAGTTGTACGCCATGCTCCTGAAAAAAGTAGCAAAATTACATTTTGAGATGCATTAGATTTATTACTCATATTTCTTGGCAAGCTTGAGGCAAATTCTTTAATAGGGAATCTTGAATATATTGTTAATTGGTGATATTCACAATAAAATGTATTGTATTAATTCATTACTTACTGATTCAAGCATAGCAAGGTCACTCATGAATGGCCTGAGGACTTTATCCATACCATACATCTTAATCCACTTGACTGGACAAAGAATCAAAAGATTCAAATTTTTTAGGCATGATCTATACTTGGGATGGAAATTTCCTAACACCCAATAGAAGGCACCTGCAAGTATGTAAATAAAAATGAAAATGTTTATTGACAAATCAGTGTTTTTTTAAAAAGTAATCCAATTGAACTATCAAAGTCCAATATTGCAAAGTTGTTGATCTTGTGACATAAAAAACCTACCAATTTGTGTACAACAGCTTTTGATCCTAGTGGATTGGAAACTTCGAAGTCATCATAATATAAAATTAATTGGATAGCCTTATAATTTAAGGAAAAAAGTGGATGTTTGCCCACTCCAAATCAGCACCATCACAAAGGTCCCTCATTTTCCCATCAACACTTCTATGAAATTTTCAATCTAAAAAAATATCAATTAAAATATATTATATCATAATATGGTAGTCATATTATTATGGTAGTCATATTATAAATTTCCAGGACACTTATAGTTGTTATATGAATAATGACCTGTGAGTAAACATCAATTTGATTTAGCAGCTGTTGAAGGACCTGGATGAATGATATGTACTGGAATGAATGCACTTTCACTTTCGATGAACCATTCGCTGTATTCTCATCATACATATATTTCTCCCCAAGGACTATCTCAATTGGATTCTAGATATAAGTAAGATAAGGATGCACTCAGCATTTAATATAAACTAATCAGACATTGTTAGACATTGTTTACAACCATACATAAAAATACATTACTATATACATACCACTATCTTAAATTCTTGAGATATATAATTGTTCCTATTCTTAGTGGATTTCAGGAATTCCATGTTGGGTGTTTGTTCCAAGTTCATGACAACTCCCAATCCATCAATATCACTGATTTTAATCCCACTTTTATCCAAACACTGTCTAATCTTTTCTTTAACATGGGCCTCGTGTTGTTGGAGTAATTCTGTTGTATTATCTATCACCTTGTTTGTTGTACTGTCAGTTAGTTGATTTAATTCTTGCGTCTTTAGGGCAAATAAAGCTAAATGTCTCTTTGAGAAAGCCTCTCCTGTCTTCGGTGTCTTCGGTATACATTCGATTGTATTATCCAATCGGTTTAGTGCATCGTTTTCGGGAATTCTTGAACCAACGTCATCATTTATTACTTTTTCCTTTCCATGTTTACGGGAAACATGCGAAGTTAGAGAGGAGAGAACAGAATATGAGCGAAAGCATGACTGCACTGGACATTTTATTTTGAACTCTGGCTCATGAATGTGATTATCGCGTAGGTGGTTTAAAAAACGATTGAATGTAGTAAAGGAAAGATGAAAACACTCCGGTTTTTTGACAAAGAAAAACTACTCGCCATTATCCAACCATGCTGGTATAAAAATAATATAAAAAATTTAAATAATATTTGCATCTATGCCAAAAGTTCGAAAAACACAATAACAGTGCTTCCACTTTCGAAAACATGACCCTCACTGAGGATGAGTGGGCCGGTGGATACAAGATTATGCTGTGTATATAATAATGTTCGTATAATATAATATGTTCGACGTCACAAGCATCCTAAATACCTTGCGATTTTCGAGGGCATTTTTGTTCCAAATGTTAGGATAATAAAGTATTTTATTAAAAAATATTGTAAGCCAGAGCTTCAGCTGAATAGAGGATAATTATAAGTTGATATTTTCTTTGACCAATCGTAACGCACTATTCTAAACCAATCACGTTTCAGACAATGCAGACATCCGACCAATAAGCGATTCAAACCAATAGTGATTACTGCAAACCTATTTACAAACACTGGGGTTATATACACAGATAAGTGATTATATACAACACGTGTTGACTTTTGACAGTTGAAAGTTGAAACATTGTTATTTATATCGGCATCACAAAATTTTTGAAATTCCGATAATGGATAAGGTCCCATCCATCGCTTATTCGTGCGAAGAAGTATCGGAATGGCTTAAACTCAATGGATTTGAAACGTTTAGTGATAAATTTATCGGTGAGTTTTATTATAGAGATAAATACTCCAAGCTAGTCGTTGTTTATAGCCTACAGAGCTAGTTCACTTTTACTTATTTAGATTCTCAATTTAGTTTATTTGTTGATCCGATTGATTATATTAGCGTTCATATCACTCGTCACAATATAAATTTCCGTTTGTATTTGTATTTGTGAAACTAGAAGAGGATGTTGACGGTGAAGCGCTCGCTCTTTTATCTGAGAATGCACTCGAGTCTCTTGTCGACAAAGTTGGGCCAAGAATGAAGCTTTTAGGCGTTATTAAGAAGATGGTTAGGAGTGATTCTGAGTCTGTTGAAAGCGGCAACAGTGGTAGCTTGTCACGTTTGCCTTGGGATTTAGAATGCCCAAATAACTCTAAAGATCAAGATTCGCCTCGTTGTTCTTCGCCAATACCAAGGTATGTGTATAAATCGAGTACATTCAGGTGTCCTTATTGATGTAACTGATCGTTACTTCACTAAGATGTAACAATTTCAAAACATGTAAAGCAAGTTTAGCCTAATTTTGAAAGCATAATTCACAGTTGCAAATAATCTGTGACTTCCAGTAAACACACCTAATGCTTAATAGGTTAAGACTTAACGAATTATCCACAAAATTAATTCTATTTAGGAATGATTGCTCCACTGTAAGAAAAACCTGGGTTACACCATTTTGCCTACCTGAACGATTTCCCCCAGCTGTACAAGAAGCCTTGTCAAAGAATATAGCCTTACCAAAGTTGATTCGTGTGAAATTTATCCAGGCGATTTATGACAAGATATGCCTTTTTACAATGTATGTATACTTTTTTTTACTGTGTTGCATGAAAGTGAAGTGACCAGCACTTTTGGGGCTACAGTATGTAGGTTTGCTTATGTAGGACACATTAAACTGAATTGTTTGTTATTTAATTTTATTTATTTTAATACATTTTAGTTCACCAACACCTGACCAACGCCGTGATGTATGTAGGGCAATTATATCAAAATATCCTTCCTTGGCAGATGTTGGTGGCAGCTATGTAAGTAATATTTTAATGATTTAGCATTATTTTTTTGCAATTATTTGTTTGCTCTTTTTTAACATTTCCTGTGGCTTATTATGTATTGGACTATGATTGTGAAAAGTTCATGTACCAATATTATTTCACAAGCCTTATTGAAATCCCATCATGGCCTGATATCTGATGCCAGATGATTTACATGTGAAGGGGAAAACACTGTTGCTTTGTATGTTAATACTGAATTAAACCATGTATTAATGAAAAATACTGAGACCATATAATTTTTCCTTAGGAAACCTGGTATCGTCAGTTAGGCGATAAAGTTAAAAATGAATTAAGGCATGAAAGGAGTGATCCAGTTGTGCTAGCAAGAAAAAGAAAGTCAATTGAAGGCTCGGATTTGACAGCTAAGGTGCCAGGAAGCAGCCGAAGGGGAATAATAAATTGGGAACCTCCTGCTGTTGATGGTGAGGACCTACATTCTAACAAAGCCCATGTTCAATGGATGCAGAAGGAGTACCGAAAAAAGCACCCAAACATGGAAGTCGTTAAGCAGAAAATGCAACTGACTTTCTCCTTCAGAAGAAAGTACATAAATGCTGGGAAGTGTTCCCTTAATGAAATTGATGCAAAATACCCTTTTTTATTTGAACATGATCAGGTTAGTATTATATAGTTAGTAATATCTGTGCATAAACATATAATCCGGCACTGGGTAATATAATTGATAAGTTACTTTTAAATTACTCTTATAACTTATATTGATTTTTTATAGTTGCAAGATGAGTATGAAAGATTGGTGTCTGGCAGTAGTGTTAAAGATTTGGTTGTTACAAACTTACGTGAGCTTGCACCTAAGATTTTGAAAGCTGCCAGCAAGAAGAAACTCCCTCAACTTGAAGAACTGGTTCAAGCTTGCGTACAAAATGAGGATGAACTGGATGAGGAGAACAGATTGACAGATGGTAATCCCATTCATACTCATTTAAATGAATATATTTTCACTATCAAAAGTTAATTATTATGCTGTGTGCGGTTTCAATATATACACCCTATTGATTATTCTCCTTCTTTATTAACACAGTCAGAGCAATAATTAAGATTAAATATGTAATTTTTTCTTTGTTCCTAGATGAGAAAGTTGTTGTGGCACTTTGTACCTTGCCACACCTTTTGGAAAGGAAAACAAAAAGTAATCCACATCCAGAAAATTTCCTTTATCAGGTATGTATAATATACTTTAGTACCTTGTCAATGCTTATCAATGTTATTACACCACCTTTTGGAGAAATGTATTGTCATGATAAGTGTAAGCTAGTGGTCTGTTAAGTGGTCAATCATGAATAGTTTTAATATGAAGACTTTGTTATGATTTTTTAAAATTTTTATTTCAAATGTAGACAGCAGAAAACCCAGAGGTATTGTTAAAGAAAGCTGCCAGCCCCATCAGCCCATTCATCATCTTTGTGGAGGACAGTGATGGTCACATAATGAACAAAATGTTTGTTGCAGGGGAAAAACAAGTTTGTTTGGAAACAGATAACATTTTTTCAGCAGTATCGTCCCTTTTGTTTTTGTATTATGTTTGTAATTTAGAGTACCCGAAACAGTGTTTTAACACGTTCCTTTTTTTACAACGTACTGTTCTAAATATTTTTGACCGGGTAAGGGTGCCAACCAAAGTTTTATTATTCTTAAATGAACTGGAACAGTGAAATATTAGGCATAAGTGCATGTTATATAGCTGGTTTGTAAATTTGTTATGTACAGTATAATATAATGTAATATATTCTGTCATATAGAAATAAATATGTTTTTACCTTACCACTGCACTAGAATTAATTAATTTCGTGGCACCGGGCCATTGTTTAGAAGAGCATTTTTATTCTTTTGGTGTACTTATACACCAGATCGGTGTCTATATTACTGAAAGCATATTTACACTAAATAGGCGTAGAAAACCCTTTGGAAGGGTAAGTTTACCCTCGCGGTGTATTTATACACCAGATCGGTGTCCATATTACTGCAAGCACGTATACACTAAATAGGCGTAGAAAAACCTTTCGAGGGGTAAGTTTACCCTCGCGGTGTATTTATACACTAGGTCGGTGTCCATATTGCTGCAAGCACGTTTACACTAAATAGGCGTAGAAAAACCTTGGGAGGGGTAAGTTTACTCTCGCGGTGTATTTATACACGAAGTTGGTGTTCATATTGCTGCAAGCGTTTTTACGCAAAATAGGTGTAGGAAAACCTATAGAGGTGTTAGTTTACGTTAATGGTGTATATTTACGTCGCCATAGTGTACACATAGCTGCATAAACTTTACCCATGAATAGTGTAAATTAACCCAAAATATAGCGTAAATAAACACCATATTAGTGTTCATATTGCTGCAAGATTTTACACCGATTTCGGTGTTGTGCCAACACTCCGAGATTTACAGTGTAAGTTTTGTTCCAGCTCATTTGCATTAGGTTCGGCGCATGAGAAGAGCGGCGTTTCACCTATAGGGGTTCGGCCTTACCAATAATTACTTATATCATAACATAGTTGATGGATATATATGGTTTGGAGACTAAATAAAAGTACAATACAACTCATTAACTATGTTATTGTCCAGCTTTATGCAAAAAAGGTTCCTTTCTCGTCACGTGTCTATTGTATTTTAGCTAAACTAACCAAAATTGATGCCATTCGTCTTTCCGAGCTCCTCAACCTTGACTTGAAAAATATGTTAATTAAAGATTGCTATTGGTTTATCTCTGCAAAATACAATAGACATGTGATGAGAAAGAAACAATCTTTTGCATAAGTCTACCTCAACATAATGAGTTGTATTGTAGTTTTAGGTGGTGTCCAAACCATGTTTATTCTATCAACTGCGAACATACACTGTGTCATATCTATTCACATTGTTTCTAGTCATCTTGGGATATGTCGATAAAGAACGGGTTTAAGAACCTAAGAAAAACCAAAAGAGGCTATCAAAGTCAGAGCGGTGTTTGTATGATCGGTGTTCAAACGAAGAAGAACAAGGTGGCCGATGATGCTCCGCTTGCGTTGGTGGAAGGTGAGACCACGCAAACGTGCCAGGACCACCTCGCTGCCATAAAACGCGAAATGGCGAAAAACAAAAACAGAAACGTCGCTTTAATAAAAGAACTAATGGAGCTAACATATCCATACCGACGGAACAAAGTCGTGTCCAGTCCCACTACGTTGAAAGATCTTCTGGCAGAGTATCCAGCATTGAGGCTGGTTTCTGAGGTATATAGTAATTCCTGTTATCTCCATACACAATAAATCCAACAACAATCCAACTTTATTTTATTCTATTGCGGGATCTGAAGCCTGTGTGAAAAAACTTTTTTCAATGTTACAGTAATTCACAGGTATTATTCTATATATACATTTGTAGCTAAAGGCAGAGTTTGAGAGGGCAACAAGCTCCATTGGAAAATGTCGGAAAATGAGCCACATTTTCAGGAACAATGTGAAACCAAAAATCATTAGTCTGGCTCAAAGCAAGGTGAAGGCGTTTCCAGGAATCGCCAGCATCCTAAAATTAATGGAAGAAGAAACTACAGATTCTCCCACAAAAAAGACAGGTAATAAATTAAAGAAAACAACATATAAAATAGGCAAAAATGTTCTCCGTGTTTATTATACTTACCCATGACGGGCATATTCAAACCTATAAGAATGTACAAATTTGTCCGTTTCACTCACCAGTTCACTCATTATGAGTGCCTAGGCCTTGGGACCCTAGGTGGCAGTTTAAAAGGAGAAAGGAACACACTGCCACCTAGGGTCCCAAGGCACTCATAATGAGTGAGCTAGAATATACCCGTCAAGGGTAAGTATAGTAAACATGGAGAACATTTTTGCCTATATATATAATATATGTGTATTGATCCGATCGACTAGTTAGTAAAATCATTAATAATGTATTTGGGACTTAGTTAGCATTATTCACTTTTCCAGGACATAATGCTCTCAAGAGGAACATTATTTATTGGACATATCATTGTAGCTTCAAACATTCAAATGCTCACATATTGCAACTCTATAATATTTTGAAATGTTGTTTTACATTCATTGCAGAAATTGAAGAGGATGGAGCCGTAATGCTGGTGCAACAACTCCTCAGGGAAAAAACAAACAGATATGATCCTGTGGTCAAAATCTGTTCAGTAAGTATCATTGCATAGTTATAATCCTTGAAAATCTTAAGTGTTTAATTAAACCACTAATGCTCAAAAACTTTTAGTCTTCCATGTAAAAAATACAAACCTATTTATTGTGTATTTATTTAGTAAACTGGTAATGTTTTTCATTCAGGATGATGAATCAATTGATAAGGTGATTGAAAGTGTTGTGGCACCCAAGCTGATTGGATCTGGGCAGTATGGCTCAATCACCCCACTCTATCTGGTAGCTGAAGGAGAGGTTATTATAAAATTTCCCAATACTGGACTTATTAATGCTTTGGTTGTTTTACTTGCAGCCTATTATGCCTTTAATATAAAGTATCCTAACAAAGGGAGAAATTTGTTTTCATTCATTGAAGCTACTCTTCTTGGCAACTTTGAAGATGCCAAGAAGCGTGTTTCTATTAATAGATTGCTAAAAGACATGGCTTTTTTGTGAGATGATTTAGTTTGTTTGTAGCTGCATGTTTGTGTTAAATCACAGTTGATAGAAGATATGGTTTGGAAACTTCTAAGACAAATAATTTATAAAACAGCTCAGCTCAATGTTTTCTGTTCCTCATAATGCCAAATCTGGTTCTTATTTCTCATGTGTGTAGGATATTTTTGCTAAGCAAATGGAAATGCTTTCATAGTTGTATAACTTTAATATTGACACCTATATGTAAGGTACGTTGCACCAATAATAAAATCTGACATGTCACACTGACATGTACAGATCAAATCCTGATGCCTAACAAAGAGAAAGTCTCCAAACCATATATTCGATATTGTACTGTGCAAATAATGTCAACAATCAAACATTTTGTTCTTTTATAGTTAAAAAATACTTATTGATTATATTCATCTTTTATGCATGTTGTTGAAATTTATAATGAATCATGCAAAGGTTATTTATGAACTACATGTTTTATATTTCGAAAGAAGGGCTTAAATAAAATTTGCCATCAAGTTTACCTGTAGAAATTTTATCAGTATTTGTTGAATCCACGTTTCTTGAAGTAAATCCCTCAGAGTCAGTATTTTTAAAACAATTGAGTGGCCTTTTTGTTACCATATATGAGTACTGGGGAATAAGTGTGGATTGAATTGAATGTCATTTGCCTTGTTGCTATGCAACGAATATCATTATCCAAGATGGCGTGTAAATGTTGACATTTCAAAGTGGACAAAGTGAAGGTATTTTTAGATATTTTTAGATGTATGATTTATAACTCCAAAAGTGGAGTTACAACTCTTTAACTCCTTTTTAGGTGTTACATTTTAACTCCTATACATGATAGTTATTTTGACTCCAAAAACGGAGTTATTATTTTACTCCAAATCTAGAGTTACTTTTAACTCCAAAAAGTGAGTTATTTTGACTCCAAAAACGGAGTTATTATTTAACTCCAAATCTAGAGTTACTTTTAACACCAAAAAATGAGTTATTCTGTACCTTTTTTCGTAACTCCTATTTTAGGAGTTAAAATAACTCCCTCAAAATAACAGTGTGGTGTTGCTGCACGGAACATATTGTGTGCACTAGGTAAATATCCAAGCCTATATTTTAAATATTTTATTACCGCAATGCATTGCTGAAATTGAAATGTGGATTTCATGTGTATAAATGGTGTGGATATTTAATGTAGTATTTATACCAAATAAGTTTTGACAGCATGCAAGCACACGTTACTACGCTGGTTCGCATACAAACGAACTTTGCGTATGCGATATTCTGTATTAATGTTTGGTTATCATCGGTAAACAACTTGATCCTTGCGCTAATTAATTTAATCGTTTGCGCGTCAAAGAGTATAAACAAAAGTGTACAATGGAATCTCTTGTGTTTAGTTTAACATAAAGTATGTATCCAGTAGCTGAAACTCAACCAAACTGAGACGGCAATTTTTGTTTACTGTCGGTTTACAGCCGTGTTAATAAAACGGATGCATGCTGTATCGCCTGTATGTCTTTGTTTATATGTCTTTAACCACTCATACATAGAGTTTGTTCGTGGAAAAATTTACAAAACCTGTAACGATGTTGCAAATGAACACGCGCTGAATATTTTGATGGGTATAGTTGCAGATGATGCATTAATTTGACATAACGATGATAATATATACTAATAACTGAAGGCTTTCTAACGATTAACCCGAATTTTGATGCAAAACGCCAATGTATATATGTATATAAAGTATAAAATAATGGGATTTAGGTAGTATAGCTAATAATTTTAGTTAAACATTCAAATGAAGGTATAGCTATTTATGTACACACATACTTGGAACAACACATGTTACTTGTTTGAAAATATTTCCTATTCTTTTAATTAGATAAATTAGTCAATAATATCTTGCGTCAATTATACGCGCAACAGGCGTTCAGACAAATTCGTTAAAACCGTTCATAAACATAAATCGTTCAAACGGCTTCAGATTGAACGTTTATTTATCCGTTCGTATTCTCGACTTTAAACGTTCACATTTTTAGCTGAATTCGTCAAAACGTTTTCTGGGTTCGTTGAAACGTTATTACAGATCGTTCACTACCCGTTCGTTATCCGTTCGTTTTGCCGTTTCAACGAAATATCGTTAACGTACGTTTTCCCGTGGAAGGTCACATATCGTATGGGCGTTATATTCGTATACATATAATAAAAAGATGTGTACGTATACGACGTATAGATTTGCAGTGTTGCAGAGGAATGTTCTAAGGGAACATTTATTCCCCAATGTTTAATCGAATATTTGTCCATATTCGGGTGTTAAGATGCCCATGCAGTCAGCAATCGGCCATCGTGCCTAATAGGGTCATATAAGGCCATATAAGTCCCAAACGGGCCTATGAGCACATGCTCATAAATGCTCATGAGCAGATGCTCATCCGCTCAATGAGATATTTCAGGCCCAAACTCCTCAAAGGGAGGAAAAAGGGGGTATTGCGAATGCGAAAATGTGTGCATTTTTAGAGCGAATCGAAATATATATTGGTGTTATGGACAACGCGATGCTTGAAGCATAAATTAAGACACGTATTAACGCTTGTAACAATGTAATTAAGTAGAACAATTTTACAAATATTTTAAACATATTGTCCGGACACTACACTGTTTTCTTGTTTAGATCGTTTGACTTTTTCTTCCGTAAGCAAGAGTTTGCATTGAAAAGCCCGGACTTGTCCGGGTTAGGACGCCTAGTCATGCAGCAATTGGGCCATCGGGCCTAATAGTGCCATATAAGGCCATATAGGGCCCAAACGGGCCTAATAAAATACCTGACTTGAAAAAAATGAGCCAATTATTATTAGGAATTTGTTGAGCAATCATCTAAATATGCGTCGCACTCGTAGGAGCTGTCCTGTGTTTAGCTGTGGTAGTACAAATTTAGCAAGGTTAGCAAATCATCTCGACCAAGTACACGATATGGGCACAGAGGAACGCAAGAGATGGTTAAAGTGGAGTAAGAAAGGAATATGTGTACCTCGACAGAGTAAAGAACCAAAGGAATTCGATATGGAGGAGTGTCTGGAAAATTTATTAGAGCGCGATGGAGAGAAATTTATTATCAAGAAGAGATGGAGAGAAACTTTAATGTTTACCTAAGCACTGCAAACGAACAACCTCTATCTAGGGGGAAACGAAGAAAGTACATAAGGGATTGCTAACATTTTAGTTTGTGTGAATGTACTGGACTAGGAAAAAGTACCGTTGAGCAGATTAGCACATCCTCATAACTACACATGAGCAGACATCTGCTCATAAAACTGCGTTGCTGCTCGATAACAAGGCATTTACACACTTCTAGTGCTAAGGGGATGAGCTGCCAATTTTGCAGAAGATATTTCAGCCGCAGTTACAATCAGCGCAGACCCGAACGGGAGTATTGCCTACTACGAGAACAAGAAAGAAACATGTCTCAAACAGACTCGGACAGTCAAGAAAGTGATTTCCAAGATGATGTCTCGACCACTTCCACTCAGCAATCTGGAAGTTCGACGACAACGGACTCAGAATGTGAAGAAGAATTGGATCCCTGGATGCCGTTAATAGAAGAAGCATAACATAGAAGTAACACAGTATTCGAGGAAATGAAAGAAAGCCTTATAAACAGTGGTTTTGATGAGCACTATGCTAAAAAGAAAGCTTACTTCAATGCCATGCTAGACTCCAGGAAGAATTAGAAAATATCTATTTAAAGCGCCATTTGTGGATGAGACAACTGAAGAAAGATCCGGTACATAAGAAAATATGTTTATTACAAATGATGATTTTGACCAAGAAGAAGCAATAGAAGGTGCCGTTGATAAGCGAAAGTTTCTTATTAAGAAGTTTTTAAACGATGTGAACATGTGAAGGAAAACAAAGGCAGAGATGATGATGACGACGACGATGATATGTTCTAAGTATCCTGAACCAGCTTTGGTCATACCGAAATGATCCACTCGTGTCAGGTTTTATTGTCTCCTTTACCAAGCCGTCTACCCTTAAGTACACGGTTAAAACGGAGCTGTTGAAAGAACGCGATTGTATTATCAAGAATCAAATAGGTTAAAAGGTCTTAATTTCGAGTGGTATTATACACACTTCAAATTCAGCCAGGAACAGTGGATGGAAAAATGAGTCAAATATACGTTCTCAATGGCAAGGGCATTTCACCGGCATCGCAAAAGCGTAGGTTCGATTCTTGCCATGATCTGTTCAAAAACAACACACGAGTCAGAACGCGAGTGAACACGAATGAACACCAGTGGACACAAGTCAGAATACGACTCAAGAAATATGAACGCTTGTGAACACCAGTTAAAAAATCATCAACACGAATGAACACGAGTGAACACGGGTCAAAAAATCATGAACACGAACCAAAGATCACGAACACGAGTGAACACGAATAAAAAAATTATGAACACGAATGAACACGAGTCAAAAAATCATGAACACGAACCAAAGATCACGAACACGAGTGAACAGGAATCAAAAAATTATGAACACGAACGAAAGCTCACGAACAGAAGTGAAAATCGCATGAAAACGTGGAAATTGCAAGAAACATGCCAGCCCCATCAACTCTAGGCTGGTTTCCACGAGGGGCGTGTTTAATTATTAAGACAGTAATAAGAATACAGTATAGGTTTCACACACAGGTAACTAGGATGCATTTCAGTGTGCAACAACAATTGATTTAAACTAACGAGCGACTCAGCTGATTTTGCTTCGTTTGTGAGCCGATTCCAAAGCATAGCGCGGCTATATTTGAAACTTTTTTAAGGTATTCTCGATTCGGCCTTGGGATCCTATTTCTCTTCTCACGAAAGACTCCCGAAGAGCGGGCGCAGTATGGTTATTAAGTATCTTGTACATTAATACTGACTTAGCACCAGACCGTCTAGTTTCAAGAGGTTCATAATTTGCACTGTTAAAACCCTCGCTGCACGAAACTGAACTCTTTGCAACTAAATTGAAATCTCTGAGCAGATTGCCACAAGTATCCCACAGGGGCGAGCAGTAATCGAAGTAGGGCTGCACAAGACTTTTTCCGGGGAACAGGGAACAGTGGAATGGGAGAACCGGGAGACAGGGGAATTCCCCTCAGGATCTCACCAAATCCTTTTTTAGCAAATGTTTTATTTTAAATTGAGTGAAATATTCGCGAAACATTACCTTAATATATGACACGTTGTTTATGTAAATTGTAATGGAGAATTCTAGATTCACATGCACACGCCTTTAATTTTGGACAGTTTATTCCAATAGGTTATTTCAAGGTTTAATTTTTCCTATAATACTTTATACAATTACTCGATGAGGCTAGCATAATACGTAACAATTATTGAATGGAGTTGAACACAATATGAAAATATTATCAGCCGGTGAGCTAGTGTACTTCAAGTGACAAGGTATTATTATCTACCAACTAATTTGGTCATGGTAAGGGTCATGCAAGAATGTCAATCATCAGTAATCAAGATGACAATCCAAAACTAATATTTAACTGCATGCGTAACTGTTTTAAGGCATCTGACTAGAAAAAAGCAGAAACAAGAGCACTTACATAACAAAAATGACCCGCTTTTCTAGATGTCCAAAAGAAAAACTAATTTATCGGGAAACGACGAAAAGAAGAAAAAAGCGCGAGAGAACTAAACTGTGGATCTCACGGAGGACGATAAATCTTTTTTCCAACAATAAAAAGAGGAAACAGCGAAGAAAATTATCACATTTTCCAGTGATCCCGAATCAGTCAACTCATGAGAACAGTGAAAATGATAATACGTCTTACTCATTTGACATTGATTTGCCTAATCTTGTCCATTACAGGGGTGATAAAAGGCTTCCAATTTACAGTCATTCCAGCCCTGACATAAAAAAAATATCCAGATCTGTTTAAAAAAGGATATTCCTGCAGACCGAAAGGCAGAAA